GTTCCCCCCCCCCAGGGGCCCTGTGGTTCATTCTCTCTCCTCTGCCGGAACTGGACAAGCAATGGGCTCCTTGGATTCCTCCTGTGAATGGGGGTTGGGAAGGGAAAGTGAGAAAGGGGCAGCTGGCATTTGGTCTGGTGCTACTCGGCTTCCCTCCCCAAACCCTGCCCCTCCACCTCCTCCAGAGCGGAGCTGAGCCCACCCCTCCCGTCACCCGGGATGTTTTTCTTGGGCACTGGTGCTACTCGCCAAGAGCGACTTTGGCTGCGGTGGAGACGCCTGTCTTGTGTGTGTATATGTGTATATATGTAAGCCTGGGTGAGCAGAGCATGCTGGCAGTGTGCCTGTGTCACTTGTCACTTGGATGACCCCACCCCCAGCCCATCCCCATTCTTCACACAGTATCTTTTAGGGATATTGAGGCAATATTGAATGAAAATGAGCTGGCCCCCACTGGATTTGGGGGCTCTGACGGCTGGTCCGTGCTTGTAGAGAGAAGCCTGTGTTTGTGTTTGCCCCTGGCTCCCTATAGGGACATCTCTCCCCAAAGCAGCTGGTGCCCCAGGCTTGGGGGCACGCTATAGCCCTGTGTGCCGGTCCCCATGCCTTCCCTAGTTCCATGAGGGAAACAGGAGGCTGGCAAAGAGCTTCCCGTGGTCCCATTCCCACGCCTCTCACCTTGCTTTGAGTTTATGGGCGTTTCTTTCAGCACCCTCCCCTTTTCCAGGCTCTGCGACCCTCTTCTTAAGGGGGACACCTGCCTGCCATGGGGTGAGAAGCCCTGTGGGTGTTTTCTCACCCCACCATCAGGATCTGAGCCCTTGGCTTCTCCTCTTGGTTGGGGGCTGGGAGCAGTGACTGGAGCAGCCGTGCAGGGCTGAAAGATGCTGTCCACACATCCAGGGAGCCCTTGAGGGTGACATTGCTGGTGGGGCCTTTTTGAGCTGGGGCAGGGTGTGTATGTCCCTGGTTTTGCCTTTGGAGGGTTCTGGACGTGAGGGCAAAGCAGAAGCCTGGAGGCAGGAAGAGCCAGCTTGCTGGAATGGACGTCTCGGGCACCGCTGGGCCAGCTCGGACCGGAGTGTGGGGAGACTCAGCTTAGTCGTCTCCCCATCACAAGCCAGAATCTCCCACAGATTCACTTTCTCAGACCAGGGCTGTCCTCAAAGTGTCCAGTCAAGGGGGAAACAAACTTCTAGAAGGGAAGAGGGTGCCCCTCTGAGACCCTGCTGGGGACTTGCAGAGGCCCCCTGCCTGGAACTGGTCAGTGGTCCCGGACGGAGGGTGGAGGAAGCTGCCTGCGGGTCCCTCCCTGGCCCCCAACCCACCCCTTCTTCGGGATGTCTGTGCTGTTTCCTGACCCTGTTGGTCACTGTGGTTCATCAAATAAACCTGTTTTGTGTAACTATTGTGTTTAAAGGCCCCTCTCATACAACTGCCTTGGGATGCTGAAAGGACCCCCAATTTACAAACGTTACAGTGGCGGGTGGAGGGAGCCCGGCTGAGAGGGACTCAGGGGAAGTGGGAGCTGCAAGGATGGAGGTGGGAACCGGGCGGGAGTGGGGAGGCTGCGAGAAGATGCCAGGGAAGCGAAGGATGCGGGGTGAGATTGGGGAGGGCGAAGGAAATACAGGGATGGGAGCAGCTAAGATTTTGTGCTTGGAAAAGCCTAGAACAAACCGGCACATATTTTGGAGTCTGGAGCACAGGTCTGGGGGAAAACCTTAACATTTCTTCCTATGGAGGTAGACATACTATTTGTTTATTAATTTATCCCTTTATTCATTTATCACCCCACCGACTTATTCATTCCCTCCCTCCCTGGTCATCGCGTGAGCATCCATCAGTTTAGACCAGAAGTTCCAATGCTTCTCAAATCAGGGCCACTCTGCGTGGTTTTGAAAATAGTCATCCTCATTGTCCCCCAGGCCAATGAATCCCAGTCTCTTGGACTCACCCCGTGTGTTTATAATCACTAAAAGCTCCTCAGATGATGTTGGGGGGAGGCCAGGTTTGGAGATGTCTCCATCTACACAGATCCTGTCCAAATTAATGTGGGCACAAAAGACTAGAGAGCCAGAGCAGAGGAGCCGGGCTCTGGATGGTCGTGGAATTGGGGGAGGTCAGGGCTGGAATGATCCTCAGGGGGAAATATTCAGCCCAGAGGTGCTCACCAGCTTCCACAAAGACCTCTGGTACTAAGACGTTTGCAGACGACACAGATGAAATCACTATGGTAGACCCAGTAGGAATTCGAGAACTCACATTTCTTGCACTTACCACTGTGCTAGCATTTCCCAAGCATTATCTCATTGAATCCTTGCCATCCTCTGCGAGGGGCATTGTCACCTCATTTTGCTGATAAGGACACTGAGGGTCAGAGAGCTTGGCTAGGTCCCCCCACCAAGGTCACATAGCCGGTTCACGGAAGAGCCAGGCCTGGAACCAGCCCAGTCTAACTCCAAAGCCCTCACTGTCGATCACTGTTCCTTCCAAAGTACAAATGAGGCTGTTCCAGGTGGGTGGGAAGGAAAGCGAGGTGTCATCTGTTAGGTGCCTGCCACACGTGGACCTCACGTGGAGAGTGCTCCATGAACCGGTGGGACGGAGCAGGATGGGAGTCAGGGAAGGATGGTGGACGATGCATGAGAGGGAGGGAGAGAGAGAGGGAGGAGGGGAAGGGAAGAGAAACGGAGAGACAGGCAGCAAAAAAGAGAGACAGAGACAGAGAGACAGAGAAGAGAAACAGAGACGGGGTATGGGGAGGGAGGTGGGACGCAGAAGTTGGGAGGCAGGAGGAGCTGGAGGACAGGGTATCAGTGCTTGTTTTCAGTTTTCCAAAACGTACCAGGAAAAACCCTGTAGGATTATAACTGTTCACGCTATTTTTTTTTACAGATGTTGAAAAAAACCTCACCAGCTCTCCAGGGAAATTTGAGATAAGTTACCCCCCAAATTGTAAGATCATAGAGCACCTGGTAATTCATGAGCTCACACGTTTCTTCATTTATTCACTCACCCACCCACTCACTCAGTCACCTGTATCTTCAACAAGTCCTTATTTATTACTTAGGTGCCAAGCAGCACGCTGGGCGCAGGAGCAGACGGTGAACAGGCCGCTGTGGCGGCCAGTCGGGTGGTGGAGACAGTTCAAGGGGTGGTTCCAGTCCGAGGGTCGGGTCGGAGCAGTGGCGGACCGCTCGCTGAGCAGGGGGAGGGCACAAAGGTGCTTGCGGATGGCTGGCCGTCGCTGTGCTAATACACGTTTTAGAAGAGCTTTAGATTTAAGAAGCTTTGCTGACCTAGTACAGAGAGTTCCATACGTTCCCCGTCGTTTCCTTTGTTAACACCCAACATTAGTATGACACCAATATTGATCTATCACCGTTAACGAAGCCCATACCTTATTAGGCCTCCTTACGTTTTATCGTAAGTCATTTTTCTGTTCTAGGATCCCATCCAGGAGACCTCATTACACTTAGTCATTGTGTCTCCTTAGGCTCCTCCAGACGGTGACTGTTTCTCAGACTTTGTTTTTGTTGGCCCTGACAGGGTTGAGAAGTTCACGTCCGGTATTTTGTTCTGTGAATTTTTTTTTTAAACAAATGTGTTTTTATTTTCATATGCCAGGCACATGTTTGATGATAAGGAGAGAGCAATAAATAACATACAAGAGATTCCTCTCTGTGGCAGTGTAACAATGAGTGATAAAGCGCGGCAAGCGTCGTTGCGGGAGGCGCACGCCCATCCCTCTTCCCGTGTGCAGTGACGCGTGAGCGCGGGTGGGCTGAGGTCCTGGCTGGACACACAGGTCCACAGCCGTCCCGCCTGGGTTCAAGTGTGTGGCAGCCTCTCCCACCTCCAAAGCACCCTAGAGCTCATTTCTGGCCTGAATGACTGGAAACCTGGGGACACGAGACAAAAGCAATTGTATTCAGTGGGCATCTTACCCCATGTTGCTCTGTACTTTATTATTTGGTCGTGTGACGCATCTCTTGCCTCCTCGAGAATGCCTCCTACGTGGACAGAGGGTAACGAGAAGTGGATTCCCCAAGTCTGCTGGAGCTACCCTGCGCGGTCAGTGCCCTTCTGTGCCCTGAGCCCCGGGAACACGCCGCTAGAGGAGCCCGGCTGGCTGCCCTGTGGCGGCTGTGTGCTCGCCTGTCTCTGCTGCTCTGCGGGAGGCTCCTCCAGTGCAGGGGCTGGGTTTGCACAACTTTGCCCTCCCGGTGCCTGGAATGGGGCAGGTGCTCAGAGGGTGTTTGCTTAAATGATTGAACAGCTGGATAAAGAAAGTGCAGGAGGAAAGGGGAGAAATACTGATTTTTGCTTAAAGTAAACAAGTTGATTGCTTTTTAAAGAGTCCAGAAAGATGGGGTAAAGACTGGGGCCAGAAGTGCTGCACTGGGGTTGATGGGAACTAAGATCGCTACCCACTGACTCGGCTACACCCAATAGCCTTTGAACCGCCGCCTGGGAACCACA